AATCTTTACCGAGAGAAGCTTTAGAGACAAAGTGCTCCTTTTTGAAACATTGCAAAAAAGCGAGTACTTTATAAATCAATACTGTTAATATTAATATTAATGAATTATTCTATTGGTATTTTTATTTCCTGCATTATTTATTTTAATAATAACAATAGTATTATTATTTGTGATTGTAACAGCTTAGAACCGATATTTTTATAAAACCTTACTATTACACCAATAAAAGAAATGACTGGTATTAATAGTTTTTGCACCGGAATGAACATTAGATTGACGACTTAACCATTTTTTTTCTGAATACATTTCTACACCTAAAAACTTAAGAATACATTTTTTTCCAGAACTTGGGGGTTGTAAAAAATAAATAGGGTGGGGCAGAGCACATAAGTCCAATTTGACTTTTTGCAATTATATTGTGGAAATCAATCCAATTATATCAGAAACGAAACAAACAACTATCTGACTATGTAAAGTAAAATTTCCAGCTAAATCATTATTGTTGGAATATGCTGTTTCCCAAAAATTTGTCACCTGGTTCTTTTCACCCCATAGGTAAAATGGGATGGCCAGGAGGCAAACGCATTCAACGATTTACTTTGTGATATAAAAATATTGTACTAAATAATTGCTACATTATTCAACCAATGCAAAATATATATTTTATTTTTATAGACACATTTTTTACAAAGATAACACTATATATAAAATAGATCTGGTACTTTATCAGAAATATTGACTTGGAATAACAATTAATTTAATTTTTTTCTTGTAAAATTGCTTTTTTAAACTAATGTACTTTTTTATTTACTAGTTTTTATTATTTACACCTTTGCCAAGATAAAGGTTAAGTTGGTCCTATTTACTCCACCCACATGTAAGCTTCCGTAAAGGTTGTACAAAAAAACGGTTGAATCAACTAAAAAATAAGATTACAACCTATAAAAGAATTAAATAATGTATACTTGTAAGTTATATTAAGATCTTGTAAACTAAACAACTGTGCTCACAACCAAAAAAACAACAAAAGAAATTACTTTTGTTATAGATTTTCAAACATTATAAGATTCAAAGTGATAGCTGGTTATACATTCTTTTCTCCTCTACTTTCAAATATTGTTGTTAAAAAAATCTTAACTTTATTTTTTGTTTGAGATATCGGTGGCGGATCTTTTTACACGCAAACCTTTAAGCCCCGCTCCACCCTATTACTTATTGAAAATTTTAATATATTCGGAACCCTTTCGTCTTCAATAAAAAAGTAAACAAAGACTTCTCAAGACTACCTCAGAGGGTAGATTCGCGTTATTCTAAGCGTTTTATACCGAATCTGTGCAAGTCTGTTTTTTATTATAATAAAGTAAGCTCGTCTCCCGGCATCGTCTGACCTTGCTACGAGCGTTGGGGTCAACCACACCGCGCGAACAACTCGACTGGTATATTCGTAGTAGTCGGTCCGATCGATGTTGGCAGACGCGTACACGCTTCAAATTTTGTATCGTTTCTACATAAAATCGATGACACATGAATTAAATGGAAAGATTTCACTAAATATATTTCGTTTTTTTATATTGCTAATAAACGTTTACGAAAAGCAAATGATACATCAACTGAGGCTGAACGCATCGGATAATTGCACGCCATGTAGCAAACGTAGCTTCGACGGAAGGTTGCTAGGGTGGATTCTGGTCTAGAGACTTTGTTGTAGTTTTATGCGATTTTTGAAAGGACACAATAAAGGCAAAAAATGTTTTTGCTAAACTTTTTCTACAAGTTATTAATGTTTTGAGATTTAGACAATAATTAAAAATTAAAAATAGTCATAAGGTTCTAATTCTAAAAAGTGATGAGAAGGGTATTTCAAATAATTGTCTCTTGGCCATACCCGTAATTTCAGTTCTCCAAATAATTTGGAGAAAACTAGAACTAGTCTAACACTAGAATAATGTCGCATTCGTATGAACTATGGACAAGTTAAAAAAAATTATCACAAAATACCGACTGTCTGAAAAAATGTATTTTTGTTACAACTTTTTTTGATATTCTCGATTTTGTTAAAAATAGTTGATATCTGAATTCATACTCGTAGTTCATACTGAAGAGAGGTTGCTCTGCAAAATTTTTGAGAAAATCGATCCAATAGAAGTGAAGAAATTGTATCGAAAAAGACGGTTTCGAGGAATACGCATTTAAAGTTTCGTAAATGAAAGACACTGAGGAAGATTATCATGGTCAAAACGCTATATATCCAAAAATGATTTAAATTTTGAAAATATAATTTAAATTTAATTAAAAAAAAAATTGAATTCACTTTTGTATACATATTCTTGAATAGTTAAACTTAAAAAAAAACAGCAAAATTTTGAAAAATTCTAAATTAGAATATAGAAAATAAATTAATGATTTATGCATATATTCTTGGATGATATAAAAATTCTATGAGGATATATTTCTACAATGCAAATAAATAGCAATGCACCTAAAATTTTTCAAATGAAATGGCCAAATGTAAATTTGAATGTAAATGGCCAAAGCTCCTATATATTATATTCTTTAGTTATTTTTTTAAATTAGTATAAAACGTAATTGAACAAAATTCAAAGCCTCGATTTATTCAAAAACATACAGAACGATTTCATTTCATCAGCATCTATAATAAGAACATAATATTCCTAGAAAATGACATCAAAAACATTTTTGATAAGAGGTTCGTGCTGCAAACTTAAAATGTAAATTTGATTTAGGAATAAAGGTTACGGTCAGCCGACTATAAAAATCGGGGTCGACAATGAATAGCTTGAATTTTCGGGTTTGTTTGATTTATGTCTTATTATAATTTGCATATATGAATAAACACTGAAAAAAAGTTTAAAAAAAATATAATTCAAAGTATTATTTACAAAGCACAAGAGCTTTTCTTTGAAAATTAAATTGTCATTCAGAAATGAGAAAAAAGTGATTGAAGATATTTTTTTGTGTTTACTAAATATTAATCCAAAAATTATTTTCATTATTAGGATCATGAACAATATAATATTTTTGTTATAATTATGTGATAACAAAAATAATTAGATAAAATAAAAAACGCACTTCAAAAATATTTACAAAAGAATTAAGTGTGAAAATAGTAGAGCTCTTTGCGATTTCGTCGTATAGTAAATGTAAAGTCTAAATAAATAACCAACTTTAATAACTGAGTTTAATAAACACTAAAAAAGTTTAAAAATACATAATTCAAAGTATTACTTGCAGAGTACAAAAGCTTTTCTTCGAAAAGCACATTTATTGTCATCCAGAAATGAGAGAAAAAATGATTGAAGTAAGAGATTTTTTTGGGTTTACTAAATATTATTGGAAAAATTATTTTTGTTATTAAAATCATAAATAATAACAATTTTTTGTCATTGTGATGATAAAAATAATCAGATAAAATAAAAAACGCACTCCAAAAATATTTGCAAAAGAATTAAGTATGAAAATTGTATGGCTCTTTGTGATTTCGTTGTATAGTAAATGTAAAGTCTAAATAAATAACCAACTTTAATAACTGGGTTATAGCGTAGTGGAAAAGTTTAAAAATAGAATTCATGATTTTTTAAAACATTTTTTTGTGGTGGACGTACGTCATTTAGGATATTTTTGACTTGCGACAACTGCATTTTCTCGTGATACGCAAAATATCTATATATAGTTATTTGCGAATGTAAATGAACAATATAAAGAAATTCTTATTTTAGATGTAGATTTTATTCGGTTAGAAACTTATTTAGCTTTTCAATGATGTACATAAGTATGCCATAGAATATACGTTTAAGGCTATAAATTAATAATTTGAATAAAAGTAACTTCAGTTTACCTTCTCTTAGCAAAATATATTATTTAGATTATTAACATTATTTAGATTATTTTTTCTATTTTTAATATTGAGATAAGCTAATTTTCCAATAAACAATGGCTAGACATTTAGCCAAAACGAATAAATTCAATAATATTTTTTTAAAAAGATTGTCATTTTCTATTAATGACATGCGAGCTTATTACACACTCTGTCAATTTTCTTTATCTGCTATAAAACGATTGATGATAAAAAAAATTATGACATATTTAGCTACGATCATACAATGTAATCAGAACTGTCAATAGGTCATTGTGCCATCACTCGACCATTAAATTTAACTACTATCATTAGACAAAATCTTTATCGTACTTAGTTTATTACAACAGCCATTCTTAATTCATTCCAGAACAATGGAATTGCAGAAATATCTAGATTCAATTGCTATAATTAATGTAAATAATAATTGTTTTCAAATCATTAAAGTATATTTAAAACATTAAAATTCACTTCCTCGATAAATTGAAAAAAAAATTAATCAAACATCATAGAGTATATATAATAAACAATCACTGCCTTTTTCTACACATAGCAACTATTTTCATATTTCTCAACTCACGTGTTTTACCGTTGTTTTCAAAATAAAAAACTCACTCCACTTAAACATAAACCGCAAAATGTGCAAACTCAATGATTCATTACCTTGTCAACGTGAGCTTTAGTTTATAATTATTAAAAAGTCAGTTACTTATAAAGGTTTTTTATTTGTTTTTAATTTTACTTCCGCACATTACATATAATGTATGATCTTTAGAACACGTCTTATTATATTGCAGTAATTTCATAATAACCGCAAGCATAGTTTTAATGAGCAGTATTCTGTTCGTGACATATTTTCATACCGCAACAATTTAGAAATTTCTTGCAATATTAAAGACTAAATTATATAAAATTTACTTAAAAAAATAGAGAAATAAGAAAACTAATAACCTTATAGAAGTTTCTAGTTCAATGCAACATTGAACTCAACTGGCAACGTTATAAATGTTTTGTAACTAAAATTGTTATAAGTAGTTAGATATCTATCCTCTGTCAAATGTAAATATTGTTTATCCTGAAAGCGTATTTTAAAAGAATTTTTCAACAAAGAAATTTTTACACATACCTCATATACATTTGGATGCCAAACTTTTGTTAAGAACCGGATGGACGGAGGTGAATATGGATAGTCTGGCGGAAATTTCATATGTGCCTGGAACAAAACATATAAACAATTAAAGATAATACAATAGTGCATAGTAACAATACTACATAAAGCTACATTATTCATATTCATCTTTGAATTTTAATGAAATTATGCGTGACATATTAGCAGCTTAAATAATTGAAGTATTGTAATTGGCTTTTGAAAAACTTGACTTGAGACTCTTGAAAGAATATTACTTTTCTTAAATTATAATCTCATTTCATAAAATAAAAATACAAACATATTTAAAGATATTAAACTTATCATTGAACATTGCAATTACCAGTATAATACTTGAAAACTGAGATATTAAAAATGTATAAAAATTAACATGTTAGAAAATCAATGAATAGAATTAGAAAAACAATATAGAACTGGAAGAGAAATTAGGAGTTTTTGAATCTGAAGATAGTTTAAATTGTCTTCTTGCAATCTACTTGCAATCTCTAATTTGATCCAATGAGTTGTAACAAATAGTAATTATTAATAGTAATATGTAAATAATGTAAATTAAAATAATTTATAGATTTTTTTATATTCTGATGTATATTAATAAAAGGAAAAAAAGCTTGCAATCTATTACTCCAACTTCTACTCTACTACTTAAAAAAAATAGCACTAACAATCATGTTCTCTCTAAACTCAGTGGCAAGATGAAGATATCTTTCAGAAATAGAACATTCTGAAAGTTCCAAACGTATTCCTACTTATTACACATCCAATTTTTAAAAAAATATTCTTCAGTACTTTAATTTATTTACCATGTCTAATTCACACTACATTACAAAGAATAAAACTATCAAAGGACCAACTTTTAAGCTTAAAATCTCTTATAATTCAATTGATGGAACTAGTATTCAACTTTTCAATTTATTACTCTTTCAAATCTGACAACTAATCAATCATTAAGTTTTGATTAAATTATTAAAAGTCAACAGTTTTTATGACATCTCTAAATACTTAAATTCTGATTGCAAGAAATACTATCACCTCCACAATCAAGATTTTTTCATGAATTACTTGTGATGTCTTATTAATATAGATATTTTCGGTAACCAAATATTATTTATAAAATATTTTTTTCTTACATTTCTTAAGAAATTCTGCGAACCAATCGATATACAGGCCTTCTTTCGGAGATGCTCTAAATGAAGATGTAATATCTCGTCTCATATCAAGACATTAAATTTTTTAAGCATTCTTTCATTGTATTTCAATTTTGATTTTGTTTACTACCTTCAAAAATTATGAACTTATTTTAATTCAATATTATTTAAATCTAATCTATCTTTTGCTAATTTTCACAAAAACTGGCAACAAAAAAAATATTAAAAAGAAATTAGTATATGAACTAAAAATTAATTATACTTATAATTAGTTCTCTCAAAAACTGCTATTTTTGACACTTTTTGCCTAGTATCTTCGGGACGGATGGACCTGACTTTACCAAAAACTAATCAGCACATCTCCCTTATCAATAGCTTTTTGAATTTTTCAAATCGGTTCATCTATACATCCTAAATCGTCGACAAAAAATTGTCTCCACACATACACACACATCCATTTTTTTCTGAAGTATGCCAAAAAAAAAACTAATTGTCAATTACAGATATTTGCCACTTTATCAATCTTTCCAACGTTATTCATGATCATTAGCAACTCGCATATAATTCCCGAAACACGAGTTACAAGAAACATTACTATTTCATGACATTGATTCAGGTTAATTTAAGCACGTGCCTGAATTGTCGATAAGAGAAGCAACAGTAGTATCAAATGACATAACGTAATTATAAATGTGATATAAAAAACATAGCAAGAAGATAAATTAGTTGCACATATTGTATTTCAAAAACAATCTAGACATACAATTAATAAAGCTAAACTGTAATTGGAGATTTTGACACTACTCATTTCAGCTCTTTGTGTTTTATTCGAATTATTGGAATTATAAATAATATAATGGGAAGTACTGCCCTAGGTCAGGTCATGAGCTGAGTTAAACTCGAATTCGGTTCAGGGAAGGAAAGTGTGAGAGATTTTCCATTGTCATTTTACACCACAGTCCCCAAAATAGGCTATTTTCGAAAATGGACATCGCTACTGCACGATGGGGGGTTCGAACACACGAGACCGTGCGCTTAACCATTGTACCATGGAACAGTCATAGTTGTATTATAAACAAAAATAAATTATATTTATGTATAGTGTAGTTGAATGACAAATATATTGTTTTAAGAAAAATAAGCAAAGAAAGAATTATTAACTGCAATCAAAATGAAACTAACACGAATCATTTAAATAGATTGTTCGAACGTCTTTTCGTTTTATTATATGGGCCATGAAGGTGACAAACTTCAGGGAATTAAGCTTTGCACGGAATGGTTGCTACCCCTGGTAGAGGGTATAGTGGAGTGTTTTAATGGAACTAGTTGTTCACTTCAAAAAGTAAAGTCCGCTTAACAACATGTGAATATCCAATAAAAATAAATCTATCTTCTTTCATTATAACTTAGTAACAAATCAGTGATTGTATTTAGAACTGCAACAAATACATGATATACAAACAAATCAGTGTTTAATACAGTCCACAGCTCCAAGGGTTAAATTATAACCCGACAACCTGAATTATCAAAGGAGGGTTTTAATAAATTCTATAACTACGTAACATAAAGTACATATATATTAAACTATTTGTATCATGAACATTACAAACTCCTCGAAACCATGTACAAACAAAATGTATATGCATATATTAGTAACTTAACTGACAATATCATAGAAAAAGTCTTTAGCCATGAAAAATAATTTCAGAAAAACATAATATCATCATTAATCACAAAAATCTCATTTCATTTCGTATCGCCAGACTTTTGCGATGTTCATTACTCTGTACTTATCAAATTTCATATAGGCTTGCAAGAAATGGACGGAAAAATCATTAATTACTTACGCAAAAAAGTGAGAGCCAGAACACGAAAAGAAATTTGATGATATACAATCAAATAACAATGACACGGTTACGTAGCTACAAAAAAGTACTAAACATTATATAATCTCACCGTAAACAATAGTCAAGTGTATTATTAAATCTATATGTAACAACCAAATTGTTTATGAAAATCATTGCTAAAGAATAATTACATAGAAACTTTTATTAAAAAAAACTCAAACATCAAATAATATGTACAACATTAAGGGGCACAACTAGTGTAACCGCCTAAAAAAAGATGATTTTTGGGAATTTATATTAAAAAAACTACTTTATCAATCATTTCAAAATTTTAGGAATATATTTATACATGTTTCAAGAATACATAGTAAAATTTTTGAAGAAAAAAATTAAATATTTTTTAAGTTATCGTCGATCTCCAACGGCGCGACAAAAAAAGGCCCTACACTGCTGCTGTGATTCCGGCCTTCTACGTGGATGAAATTTGAAAAAAAAAATTCTCATTAAACTAGATAATATCGTCTGTAAAATGAACTACGATAAAGAAAAAAATCAAAAATTGACCAAATGACGGCGTTTTTTTTTTTTAAAAAAAAGTCTAATTTTATCTAAAATTAGGGTCGTTTTTGGGCTGCCAAAATTCGATTTTTGATCCGATCAAAAAATCGATGGTTCATTTTACGGAAAACTATATATATAGAACATGTAAAAAAAAATTGATAGTGATCGGATCATTTGTTTTTGAGTAATCGCTGCAGCAAATACGGAAAATGCTGTTTCGAGAAAAACGCGTTTAAAAATAAAATGATCGTTATACTCTATACTCTATATATATACTATACTATATACTCTATATACTCTACTACTCTATACTATATACTCGAGTATATAGATCTATATACTCTATATATATATACTCTTTAAATGGCTGTGACTCAAAAATTCAAGATATCAATTTAAGATATCGATTTTAAATTTTGGTATGTTATTTTTAAAGGTATAAATTATCGAAATATGGAAAAATTAAAAATTCGATTTTTTGAAAATTTCACGCTAGTTGTGTCCCTTAAATTACGATTATAACATTTTAATTAAGAAATTTTCATACTCTACATAAATCGGTAAAAAAGTAATATCAGAAAACTGTGAAACGCCATATTCCTAAATTGTCTACAATTGTAGCTAAATGTACGTATTGTAGATAGCTATGAGAAATAAAATAAAAAAAGAAGAAAAAACTGTGAAAAGGTTTTTTTTGAAATTCTTTGTTTCAAACTTTATGAGTAACCATGTGTAAATATACCACTATATTATTGTAATAAAATTCGACTACAAATAAGGAACTTTTTATAAACCTAGTAAAATAATATTGTATCTTCTATATAATTTTCTCTTCTGTTCAAATGATTCATATGATCCAACATAGTACTTTTCTTATAAATTTCAATAAAGATAACAGCTTTAGAAACTTTCCACTTTTCATTTTACATGACAATATTTGGAAATACCTTCTCTATTAGTTTTGGAGAGCAACAACATTACCTACTACTAATTCCGTCGAGCACGAATTCTAGTTTAAAGTTTGTTCCAGCCAATGTATAAAAATATTTTCTTATCGGTTCTTATTATATCCGGCGACCAGTCGGATTTTAAATATGTATTTTTTACTTTTACATTTTCATATACAAATTTATCGATATCGACGAATTTATTTATCTGCTTTCATTTGCATGAAGCTCAGTATTTTATCATTTTTTTTATCTATGACTCAATGTTGAAAGTGTCGCGGTACAAATTCTGATTAGCATAAATTAATAATATTGAGGCTATATGGCCCGCACGATACGCAATAAATAAAGTTACAATGAAAGAGAAAGTACGTGCGACAAAATAAATAATGAATATTATTAATAGATTACATTTCTAATGTAATATAGTACCCATCTGAATAAACAACATGGACTAAAAAAATCTAGTATATCCATAAAAAAGAGGAGGAAAATAGGTTTGACTTAAATTTAAATTGAAATTCAAGGTTTGTTAGCACCTTAGA